TCCTAAAATGTTATCTAATAAACAAACGGAGGGAATATTTTTCATTTAGATCTAAACTAAATTATCACTGCACGCATTAAATGGATCCAACAGAGCGTAAGGCTCCATATTGTCTAAATTAATAATTAACACCTTTTGGAATATATCGGAGCATGAAAGCCTCCGTTGATTCTACCAACCCGTTGACGTTCTTATCTATTTGTCATATATTTTAATTCGTATCCTTTATTCAGTTATTATTATTATTTACCTTTAAAATAGGTTTTGTTTGATTTTGTAACAAAAATGTATTATGAACCAATGTTCTAATTACAAATCAATAATAACTAAATATTTTCAATACTGAGGTATTCCGACTGGAACAGAAATATTAATTATCAAACTGATAACAAAAATAAATATGAAAGATATATAAGAAAACATATTGACACATGCATTATGGTTATGCTCTACCTGTACAAATCAGACATTGATTTTTGGGAAAATAATGTTCTACCTGTGATATTGTTTGGTAGGTATAGATCTGAAATTCAATCCGAAGTTCGATTCCAAAGTGAATTCTGGCTATTAAAATCGAATAAAAATGAGTGTATTAAATTTCACACAATAAATTGGCGTGTTTAGTGAAGATTATTCAAAGTAGGGCAAAAGGCAATACTCATATCTGCCTAACAAACTAGCTGTCGTCCTCTGTCTATATGTATGTTAAATATTAAATTAACTTTTTCATGGACCCTCATGTTTTTTTCCTGCATTTTGTTACCACTATGGAAAGAAACTTTGGACTAAAAATAAAATTATTTGCTCACTTTTCTCATTGAAAGAGCAAAAGAGATGTTGGTTAATATAAGAGAAGTAAATCGACCCCAGTAGAGCGCCTTCATAGGTGTTTTCTTGTGTAGCATCTCAAATTCTTAGTAAACATATAATATAGTTAATGTCATATATATAATGTCTCTGTATTATTCTTTTAGTACTGATTAGTTTGTTAGTCAATGAAATCTGGAGAGTTAGATAATAAGATCATAAAAGGTAATATATTATGTATAAAATTTGTTTATGATCAGTTACACTTTTTATATTGTTAATAAAAATCGATATGCTTGAGTCTATTATCTGATTGTAGTAGAAGTACGTTCCTACTACCGACGTTTGTATAAAAACAAGAATGAACAAGGAAAATGCGAAGAATGTTGGTTTCACCTCCTAGACAATAATGTAGTATTCAACTTCTCTTTTCCTTTTTGGGTCAAATCTTCCGAGTATTACTATTGTATTAGACTAATTTGATGAAAATCATGGTGATAACTTTTTTTTCTTATGCATCAAGCTTTTTCAACAAAGAAAATCATTTCAAACTGGGAATTAATTTTTTTTTGGTATTTATATGCGAATAGCCCAACATGATTTGTTCACCATTGACTCATTAAAAATGATATATAATATGCTTTTCTAACTTTTTTTTTCCTTTGCTTTCACATTCACCGTGCAAAAAATATCCCTCTCAAGTTGGAGAATAAAGCTAAGGCGTATAATCTTCCATATTATGTTTAAAGAAACAACCAAATACTACTTTTAAGCTTTACTTATTTTGAAGTATAATTGGACCCACCGCTTTATGTTATGCAAATAGCCAAGTTTCTAGAGTTGTGAATCAAGTTATTTCATTCCTTCCAATCTCAAAAGAATGAAACAAGAGAAAGGTTGACATTATTATCTCCTTTTAGATTTTGTAAAGTTACAGCAAGAAAGCTAATTTTATTTCCTATCACATAACTAGGTGAAAACAATAAAGATACACTCAAAAGTATATTAAAAAAAAAGCGGAAGTGATACTATTACAATACATAAAAAATATTTGAAACTACAATTAAAATAATTTTACTGAAAAACTATCGAAATTCACTGGAGAGTATATATGATCACTAGCTAGTAATCAATCTACCACTAGTGCGCCACATCATTTTGTAAGGTACATGTCAAAATTTAACAAAAATTAACTGGCATATATAATAACAAGTGGAAGAAAATAGAAACCAAAGTTAAAAGAGAAGAATTGGAACTACACTCCAACAAATAACTTATCAAATATAACTAAAAAGTATCTGCATTTATATTACATACTGCTCTCAGTGATGTATTTGTTAAACTTCTTGATCACTAATACCAGTTTAGTTATGAAAAAAATTGAAACAAAACTTTGATCAGCTTCTTTTGGAGTAATCCCTGTTATATACATTTTTTTCGTTTCGCTAAAATCCACTAGTCGTTTTCTCTTCCACAAGAGTATATTTATAGGGTAAAAAGATGGGGCTGAGGAATTGGCGAAGAATGAGATGTAGCATGAAGGTGTTGTAGTTGTCTCATTAAACAACAACAGGCACATAGAGAGAGGTGTGATGTACATTGTTCATGAAGGGGGCCCATATCTTTATATTGGTTGAATGTGTATCATGTAACGTCAAATTCTATATGTCTATATATTGTTATTATGATTAATAAATAAAGTTAGAATATTATGAGGGTGAAAGAGCACACAACACCAAAGAATGTACTGTGACACCCACCAACGTCTCGTAACTATAATTCATATATTGTACTTACCACACCGACTAGGTTCCAAACCATACCGGGTTTAACATTTATTCTTGTCTCTTTGATATTTCTTTCGACCTCTTGTCTTTGAATTATTAATTTTAAATATATTTTCTTGTTAGACATCGACTGATGAATGTCTACTATGACGGTAATGGTAGATAAAGAAATATTGAAAGTTTATTAAAAATGAACAAACTCTATATAATAAACCCCATCACGTACCTATGATCTATGGGTATGTTGATATGGATTTTTCTAAGTAGGTGTGTAAATCTAAATGAGTTTTTTGCGCAAGACATTAGAAAAAGGCACTAAATACAAAAATTGACATAGCTCTAGGACTAACTCAAATTCCAAAGTCAGCATAAACGGATCAAAAAGCTTAATTAATTGATGTAGGTTTAAGGTTGAGAGAGAGAGAGAAAGGAAGAGAGAGGAAGGAAGAAAAGGAGCAATTCAATGAAAAGGACTAATAAATGCGAAGAGACAGAAGGGCACAGAACTATTCTGCCCATTGCAGAAAAGATAGCTTGATGTGAGAGGTGAGGAAATCATTTTGTAATCGATTGCTTTATGATTGCTCCTTTCTTTTTCAATTTTATTTAATTTTCCTTTTCAATAGGGAGGAGAGAGCATTTAGTAACAAGTGAAAAAGTTATCAGTGAATTGGAATTTGGGTTTCTATAAAGCTGATAAAAAGTATATATTCAATTAACAAAGTGCTTTTTCCCAAAGACTCATTTTTTTACCCCCCTCTGTGTTCTCACTTATATAAATATATTATTTTCTGACAAACTAAAACAAATTTAAAAGGTAAAGTCGAGGGAAGAAAAAAGCAAAAGTTAAAAAAGCTGCACGATGATGAAGTAATAATGACTAAATGATGGAATGCATGCATGCATTTCATTGTCCTATGTACACAACACATACCACATTAACTTTTTACTAACTTTTGCTGACTCGATTATTCCAACCCTTCAACCATTTACTCCTTTTTAACCTCACGAATTTACTCCACATAACTTCTCCCAAACTATGCGATATGTAAAATCCCAAACTAGATGCGCGTATATATATGACACACATAAAAAGATGCATGCATGTACATCTTAACATGTTATGTTTTTTAATCTCTGTAAATTTTTATTTTTTATTTTCGAATAATTTCAGTGTTAAAATAAAATCTGTGTCTAGCACCATTAAGCAGTTCGCCGATACTAATGCGGAACTACAATGAATGAGATCTTAGAGCAACCCTATTGGCGAGTTGTCAACCATTGGATTTTAGCCCCTCAAAAAAAAAGTTTTTGTCGGACAACGCATTCAAAAGTAGCACAATACTAATCAATTTATACAATACTAATCTTAAAGCTTAAATGGACCCAATAGATTGTGTAAAATGTATTAGAATCTGTTGCAAGTTAAGTTCCGCGCGAGCCCAACAATACTAACATTTTCTACCATGGGCCATTTTTCCAAGTGTTTATAATTGTTGTTCTAATGGGCCACCTTTATGGATAACAGTTCCACATTGGTTAAATGGTTCCAACTTCGAACTTTCAAACCATTCTATATATATTTTTTTTTGTTTGGGAGATCATGGGCAACCTTGACGGTTAAGTTCGTTGCTTCAAACTCTCTGCCTTTTTCGGTACACATCGTTTTATCTCTGATTGAGAATGCGAAAACGTATGACTTGATTTTATCGCTTCATTCGAACTCTCTCTTTTTTTTTTCTTCCTGTAAATGTCATTAGTTGATTGTTTAATTTTGATTTTGATTTATTTTTTTATTTTTATTTTTTGAGATGAACATGCTAATGTAAAGTGGTTACAAAAGAAATATTTGTGTTGACAAAAGAAATACGTGTAGGAAACATGAGGGATGCGTTGACAGATGGCCAACGTCATTGCATGTGGATAATAAAATAAAACGTCACGTGGGAATAGAAGAGTCATGCAGAAAATCTGATATAGGTAGGTATGAAATTGAAGAGTTATTATTATTATTATCTCTCTCTTATTTTTAGTATCTCTTGTACCTTACTCCCTCCGTTTCATAATATAAGATGTTCTAGAGAAAATTGATGTTTCAAAATATAAGATGTTTTGATATTTTTAAGGTACTTTAACTTTATAGAAAACCGGTTGATCAATAGTATTTTAGTTTATTATTTATGATTGATTAATTTGTTTTAAATTTATACTATTAATGATGTTATCTTTTAAAAAGTTAAGTTTCTTAATTCTTGTGCTTTGGATAAAACATCTTATATTGTGGAACGGAGGGAGTATCTCGTTAGAGAATGAAAACAGTACCTAACCCCTTTTTTCTTTATTTGTATTACCAAGATTCAATATTTTTATTGGCAATAGCGACTCAACGAGAGAGACAAAAAAGAAATGGCTAAGAAGTTGCTTTTCCTTATTGTACTGACTATCTTGAGTCAAAATCCAAATTGTGGCTCTATTGTCAAGTTTCTTCCTGGTTTTGAAGGTCCTCTTCCTTTCGAGCTTGAGACCGGGTTTGTGTCTTATTTTCATGTACTCTTGTGTTAAAAGAGTGAGACCGAAACCATATAGTTAGATCTACTGTTGTGTGACTGATCAGGTATATTGGACTTGGTGAAGGAGAGCAAGTGCAATTGTTTTACTACTTCATCAAATCTGAGAAGAGTCCAAAAGAAGATCCTCTTCTTATTTGGTTAACTGGAGGACCTGGCTGCTCTTCTATCACTGGTCTTCTTTTTGAGAATGGTAAAAATCTAAAATTCTCTATCCAATGATCTAAAGGAAGTCAAATGTTGTTTGACTTGACATCAAAAGTTAAAACTAAACAGGGCCTGTGACATTTAAAGTTGATGAGGGTTACAATGGAGGTACACCCACCTTGCTTTCTACTACATATTCATGGACAAAGGTACACACTAACCCAAAAAAAAATGTTATGTAGCTCATTCGTGACATTTGATTATAGTGGATCATTGTTTGTAGGTTGCGAACATAATATTCTTGGACCAGCCTGTTGGGAGTGGCTTCTCCTATGCAACAACTCAACTTTTTGATACACCTAGTGACTCGGAGGAAGCTAAGCGGATCTATGAATTTATTCGCAAGGTAAAAAAAAAAAAGGAAGACTCACTTAAGTATCTGATAATACCACACTAGGCGCTGAGCTAAGCTCAATAAATAGATCCCCACCCAAAAGGTAGTTTATGAGTTCTGACTTGTGTCTGAGTGAGTGAGTTTATATGATTTTATAAAGGCACTAGTTAATTAGTCTCATTCTTAATCAATGTTGTAACAACATTCTGTTGAAGCATTCATATTCTTATTTTTTTTTTATCTGAATAAAACTTTATTATTTAGAGTGTGTTGTTGTTGTGTAGTGGTTAAGCAAGCATAGGGAGTTTATCTCGAATCCTTTTTATGTGAGTGGAGATTCGTATTCTGGTAAGATTATTCCGGCCACCGTTCAAGAAATCTCCAAAGGTATGTGTGTGCTCTTCATCTTTTGTTTCTCTCTTTAGATGTTTCATTTTTATAACAAATTCTACATGATGGTACTAACGCCAATGCAGGGAATAATCTTGGGTTTAATCCTCAAATAAATCTTCAGGTTGTACTTGACTGCTTCTTATGTTATATATATATATATAACTTCTCCAACAAACATTGATAATTTTATTTTCTCTCAACAAATAGGGTTATGTGCTAGGAAACCCTGTAACAGATACTGAATTTGAACATAACCAACGTATTCCATTCGCACATGGGATGGCACTAATCTCTGATGAACTCTACGAGGTATCACCACTTAATATATCACATGAATGGAGTTAGATAACAAGAACCAATACAAAACTCTTTTGTTTGCAGTCACTGAAAAGAAGTTGTCGAGGAAATTATGATAATATAGATCCACATAACACAGAATGTTTGAAACATTTTAACGAATTCTTAAAGGTATACACTACTTATATACATAGTTTTTTGTATCCCTGAAGTATATAATTTTATTTTTTGGTTATACATTTGCAGTGTATTTCTAGAATTAACTTTGGTAATATTCTAATACCACGGTGTGATCCAGCCTTGTCCCCATACATTCTCCTTCCAAACACTTCGGCTCCGTCTACTGATGATGACTGCTACGTTAGTAATCCATGCATCTTCGTCTTTATATTTGTATATGCTATGCTTCTATCATATATAATATTGGAAAAGTAATGAACTTGTAAAACCATTGATAGAAATTAATATGTAACACAAGAAATGTTATTGCACCCACTTGTAGGAATACACAGATTTACTATCTTCCCTCTGGGCCAATGACGAGAGCGTAAAGGAAGCACTTCATGTGGTAAAGGTAGGTATTGACGAGTTTCAATTTATGTAATGCTAAAGAAACAATGTCGAATGAAAACATTTGAATATGGTTCCAGGGAAGTATAGACAAATGGGTACGGTGTTCATCAGGCAAGCCATACGATTCCGACATCAAAAGCAGCGTACCATACCATATGAATAATAGCATCAAAGGATACAGATCTCTCATATTCAGGTTAGATATTGGTTTTGAACTTTGTAACATTTGTATACAAAGCTTCAAGAGTTTATAGGAAACTCTTATGGTTCTTTTGTTTTGGTTGTATGTAGTGGTGATCATGACTTATTGGCGCCTTTCATTTCAACGCAAGCTTGGATAAGATCTCTTAATTATTCCATAGTTGATAAGTGGAGGCCATGGATGATACACAATCAAGTTGCTGGATACACTCAGACTTATGCTAATAAGATGACATATGCTACTGTTAAAGCAAGTTTTTTTTTTCTTTCTCTTTTGTTCTTAGTATGAATCTTTTCAAAAAATTTGATTTTTGATTTAACAGGGAGGTGGACATACACCAGAATATAAACCAAAGGAAAGTTTTATCATGTTTCAGAGGTGGATTAGTGGCCAACCTCTATAAAATCTAATATTCTGTTAACCATAAATAAATCTCTAGATATAAGCTTCAAAATTCATTCATTGTATTATTTACTTTGATGTCTCTAAGTCTGAAAACCAACGAATGATGAGTAGTAGTAAGTAGACTAGTAGTAGTACAAGAACTGAATCATCACAACTGTGTAAATGTATGAATCGAAACCAGAGATTCATATACTCTTCTCTAATTCTACATCGGCTAAGAAACAATACAACATCTAATTAAAGCATTTCAATATATCCTCAATGCTTCCAACAAAACACAAATGCTAAAGGAAACAGTGTTTGAGAATCTTGACATAGTTTTACAGCTCTCCTCTAACTTGTGTGTTATCCTGTGAAGATAATGAGTTTTTTTGGTGATTCAGAAATGGATCCAAGTAGAGATGACAAAGAAAACCAACCTTGCTAGTCTGTTGTTTTGTTGGTGGTCTCAGACAATTGATGTGTCCTGCAGTCAAAAGTTTTATCGATGAATAGAAGCTACTATATAATATATACAGCTTCATGATTATGATATATGAGAATTTGACATTGTAGAGAAACAAAACTGCTGAAAATCTGGAGAGATTACCATGGTGATGAGGATTGGCTGATGCCAAGGCCATTGCAAGTGAGTATCATTCCCTTAAATCTAGCAAGATATTCCTGTACAAAGAAAGCATATATCAACAAACTAAGAAAATGTAGAGAAAATATTTGTGAAATCTCAAGAGAATATGTTACACACCCGTAAAGTATACTTGTGGATCTCATAGATACCGGTTAAATCATATTCAAAACGTGCAGCAGGGTCCATCAACACTGCCAAAGAGAAAGAAGAAGCCATGTAACTTTAGCAAATCAATTGATTCAATACACTACAAGAAAGAGAGAGAGAGAGATCACATTGTTCACTATCATAATATCAAGTAACCTTGGACCAAAAAAAAACAAATGCTTGCAATAACTTAGAGAAACAGAGAGCTGAGGATTGCAACTACATAAGAGCTGTGTCAATTCTTAAACACAAGTATAAAAGTCAAGGAGCGAATATGCAGAAAGACTAACCGTTATAAGCATCATTTATCTCTATAAATTTCTCTGTAGCTGAACTATCTCCTTTGTGCTTATCAGGATGCCATTTCTGTAAAATGGAACCACAAATAAAACACTCTCAACCAAAGAGAAAAACAAAAAAAAAGAATCTTTCTTTTAATCTAGAAACATAAAACACAATCTAAAAGCATCAACAACAACAACGTTTTAACAGATATTTATGAGGTCACTAACCAAAGCAAGCTTCCGATAATTGACTCTGATCAGTTCCTCAGTTGCGTCGTAATCAACTTCCAGAATCTTATAGTAATCCTTCAACACAAAAAGTCACAATTTCCATATCAAATGGAAGAATAATACATAATCATTTTCCCAGATTTAGAAGCAGGCATAATAAAAAAAAGTGTACAACTTTTACAAATAAGAATCCAAAAATAAGACCAATGATGATCCTTAAATCTAAAGAACTATACTCATAGCTCTTCATGTTCCCATTAACATCAAAAGCAGACTATTTAAACCAGATATCTAAGAGACCAACGTAATCTCCTTACCTTGGGGGAAGGAGACTTATCATTGTCTTCCATTAGATACAGAGAAGAACAGAGGAGGAATCTCCTCGCACCTCATCAAACAGAGACACCCAAAACCTTAACAAGTGAAAAGGAGATTGAAAGTGTTTTCCTTTATCCGTTTCAACAAAAATAAAAAACGAAACTTTTTCTGATAAAATGGGAAAAGCTCAATCGAATCCTGTGGTTTGCTTTGTGTTGGGAATTGGAGGAATGGAGAAAGGTTTTGGATTCTTAAAAAAAAAAAAAGTTTTCGAATCCTTTTTTGGATATTTTAGGATTTGTGACGAGGCCACCGGCCAATGTCTATCTATCTCTCTTTTCGTTTTGTTTCAGACACACATCTTATCCCATATCCACTTTGTTTTGTATAAATACAATAACTTTTTTCTTGAAACTATAAATACAAAAACTTGTTTAAAGATGCAACTCAATTGCCTGAATGGTGAGTTCAACTCTGTCTAAATGCTTAGTTGAGTTTATCAGAATTTAATTAAACCAAATTCGAATTCACCAAACAAAAAACTAATATATTTCATTTTGCAAGAGTCCTACACAGAAGCAACAAGTGAAGCACTAACACTAAACTGTATGTAACTGTTTTCAACTCTGGTTATAAATGAAATAAACAGAGACGAAGTAAAAGTGTCTTGTTTCTTTCAAGTAGTAGCTTCAACTTCCGGGTCAGTTTCCACTGGTACATCGGTAGAAGAAGTGTTCTTTTCTCGACCTCTTAACCGTGAGGAGACATTGTCAATTGCTGAATTAAGTTGTTCGATTTTCTTGTTCAAGGTCTCTCTTGTTTTCTCCAAACCTTCATCGTAGTATGTTGGTTGTTGTGGCTTCTTGAAACCATACTCATCTTCTTCACTCATTATCGATCTTCTGATCTGAAGAAGAAAAAAAAACAAACCTTTTAGCTACATTTTTTGCATGATAGTGATATAAACCAACAAGAAATTAAAACAAACACCCATGAGAACAAAACCCCAATCAACTCATCATTTGCAAAATTTGTGTTCATACACTAACACTATTTTGATTAGTAACATAATCCACATGAGCAATGTATATATACTATGTCTGTTATCATCCCATCAAATTTCAAGACAGAGTGACATCAAAAGAAATGACCTGTGGAGCAAAGATATACGCAGCAGCGCCAAACACAGCACCTCCTAGAAGAAAGCCAGCTATGAAATCAGCAGCACCACCACTTCCTCTCCTACTCCCCTCTCTGCATATCATTATAAGAACTAAGTTTCAACAAGACATTTATTCAAACAAGAGAGAACTATACTTGCCCATACCGTGCAGAAACTGAAAACTTGTGACTCCGGTTCGATTTCTTCTGAACAGTCAATACAGAAGTCTTATAAATGGAACTGAGCTTTGTGGTGGACAATCCATTTGCTTTCACATGTTGAGATTGAGACAGACCACCTGTGCCACCAGATTCAAGAACAACAAATTGCAATGTTTATATAGAAGGATATGGATCTCTCAAAATTCTTCTTACAGATCAAAACGCAACTTAAGAGTTTTAAGTTGTTCTGATCTTCCCTCGCAAACATGAAATACTTAGTAAAGTGAAGAAGGATTCAATTACCTGAGAGAGAAAAATGAGCAACACATAACGCCATTGGATTTGTAAAACCAAGGGATCTGATGATGAACACTGGGAAGACACATTTTGTCTGGATATCTTATACTACAGCTGAAACTACTAAAGTACCCTTCTACTGCGTTATGAAAACTCAAAACCAGTAAACAAGTAGAATATAGAGAGGGATTCAAAAGTCTTTTGTTATTCTATAGATTTCAACAAGTAATTTAGAAAAACATTTGGTATCTCTCTTTCCCATCCCCACTTTTATATACAAACCTGTGATTTTATCTCGTTGGAGTCTTCTTCACCAACCAAAAAGAAAAACTAAGGACACACTCATAATAAAATAAACTTAACGATAACCTTGTTATCTGGGAAGATCTCTGAACAGAAAAAACGGAGTATTCACATTCTTCTTCTCCTCTCCGGGAAACGAGAGTGATAACGACAGGGAAGCAGAGTCATCATCATCATCTTCTTTCTCTTTTGCTTTATTCACACTGTGACTACTTTGTTCCCCAGAGTTGTTTTTACCGGCTAAGAAAGGCAGTAGTCTTGTAGTGTCTTCTTGAGTTGTTTCTTCACCTCCAAGTGGCAGCTCGAGATCCGGGACTGTGCCAACTAACCGTCTATTGTTGTCGTCGTTGTCATTGTTATTGCCAACTGGAATGAGATCATCGGCTAATTCAATGTCTTCTCCTTCCATATTCAAGTCCAAAGGGAACACTACTTTGGGACTCTTCTTCATCATCCCGCCGGAATCATTACCAATTGTATCACGTGAAACGCTGCTGCTGATTTCGTTTTCTGTCTTCAGCTTCTTATGGGGAGATCCTTCGCATGAAGCTTCATTACCGAGCTCCATTTCCTGGTTCACTGTGGCGGGTTTTGTCAGTTCCCAAATTTGACGCTTCCGGTGACTAGCCTGACTACTGTTAAGATCTTTCTCTAGAGGAATGACTTGGCCAGGGGGAGGAATTTCTGAGCCGGTGACAGTCAAAAGCAGATCCTTTCTACCACCTACTTCTTGCTCTTCAATTTGCTGAACCTTCTTCACTAGACTATCTCCGGTTTTTGATCCATTAGCTTGACAAGGAATATGATTCACACCTGGTTCGTCCTCTTTACTAGCAGAGTCCTCCTACATTAAGGAACTCTATGAAGTTAAGAGATGAAAATGTCCTACTACGAGTTCAGAGAGATGGAGACTAAGCATTTACGATTTACACAAGGACTAAGAACAACCCACCTTTGCGATCAATGATCGCTCAACAGAGGATTCTCTGTCACTTGGATTCTCATGGCTAAACACATCCGTCCTATTTTGAGTTTCATGTATCTTGTGTGGGCTCTCACGTAGAGAAGACGCTTTCTCCAAATGCTTGGAAGGAGAACTCGTATGGCGCAAGTCACTGGGGTCTTGGTCACGCCTCAAAACATCTGAACCAGGCAAAGATATGTTCTTTTCTGGGATTGAACAAATCTTTTTTCTTCCTCGGAATACACCCCAAAGGAAATATAACATGTTCCAACCTGCAATTAATAAATCTATAAGCTGTACTACTTTCACACAAAATAAACTGACTTTGCATTCCGAACAGATTATTTAAATCATGGGTGCTACTTCGGTAAGCATTCTTACGCTGGCAATTCAGAGGAAGCTGGTTGGATGCAAAAATCAAAAGCTCAACATTATCGAGGTTTCCTTTCAGAGCTAAATCTTTCTTGATCATGTTATCTACGAGGGGCTTATAGTTCCTCTCATAACTGTATTACAGCAGCAACGTCAGGAGAACAATATTACAGTCAAACAATTAGACCAAGAAACACACAATAAAATCGAGGGAAAAATAAATACAATCATGAATGAAACCTACCTCTCAACATCCTTTGCAAAGAAGAACAGAGCTATATGGTCTTCCTTAGTACCTACGTCTTGAAATTGTGCAGGCCATGTACTTAGCCGAGGTACTTCAGTCAAACTAAACTTTTCTGGAAATTTATTCACCACTTCAGCAACCTTGGGTGATGCTAAGGTTGATAGATGTGCTTGCATTCCGCTATGCATAGCTAACTGATTTATAGCTTTACGCACCTCCAAGTTTCCTCTGGAAAAATGATGTAAAAACTTACGGTTCAATATGCATTACGTGGATATAAGAGTTATAGCTCAATGGAAGAGTCAAAGAGATATTCTCAAAAGAAAACTGGAGAAAGAAAACTGGAGAAAGAAAACTTACTGCCATATAGACTCATGGTCTGGAATCGCTAAGCTTGTCAACAGAGTAGGTGCGGATACTAATGGCCAATCTCTCATGACAGACTTCAAAGATGGAATATTAACTTCAGGCTTCATATCAAGTTCCACAGATCGTGGAGGCATCATCGCATCAACACCAGAGGGTACAAGCTGCTTTTCATTTGTAACAATTGTCTGATTGTACGGGTCAGGATTCGTATTGATCTTTGGAGTTGACTGATTTCGTAAAGCCTTATCAGAACTAGGATGCACCTTTGACGCTAAGGACGTATCACATTGCTCCAATAATCTATTCTTGCCAAAGTTGGGCTTTTTACGAAGAGCAGCATCTACTGCTGCTCGTAACCTGTTACCCTTATTTATATCTTCCCGAACATTTTTAGTGGTCGAGAGATCATTATCGGAAACGCTTGAGGTTTCGTTAGATTCTGCAGTCTGGCCTCCTTTTTGAGATGATGGTAAGCCTTTTGCATCAGATAACAAGCTAGACCTTTGGCGCTTACCAGAGGCTTCTTTGCTTTTCTTCCCTACCTCTCTTAGTTCCCTGGAACGCGGTAATCTATCCTGCGAGGCTACATTACCGTTGCTTGGCACCACCTCACCCGAGCAGGCAGTGGATGGCAGTTCATCCTTACAGTCAGCTTGACTTGAACTTTGCTCGCGTGAAATATCACTTCCTGAAAAAGAGACCATATACTAAAACGATTAACAACAAATACAAACAAAATACTTCCAAATATAACGTAACAGAAGTACCAATATATTGACAAAATGATAGGAATCATACCAGAAGTAACAGAGTTTTCAAGACGGTTTCGGTTTAGATTGCTAACTTGCTTCGTCAAGTTCCCTCGTTTACCATCAGACTGCAAACCCTTCAGATCACGGGGACTGTTAGCATATAAAGCACCCGAACTGCTGCGTGGAGTAAGCTTCTGATCGGTGGAGGCTGCGGGAGCATTAGCTTCTGTACTACGATCTTTCAACTGCTTTGGGCTTTTGCCATCTTGTGATTGAAAAACTTTTGACGCAAGCATTTTTGCTTGTGAGTCGTTTCCACTAGAATTCCCAGTGTCTGTTCTACTTAACATTGATTTGCTTACATTTCCAAAAACCCCCTCCTTTATTTCAAGAGAAGTATCTTTTCTAATCTTCTTTCGTGGGAGAATAACATCATCCATAAGTTGCACTTTTGGTTTCGAGCTCGAACTATTGAAGGAACTAGATTTCAAAAATCCACCTGGACAAACAAAGAAGTAATGTTCTATCACCAGAACTATGACAAATAGACAAGGCAGAGTTGCGTTTAAGGAGAGCACATGCAGCCTACCTTTTGGAGGATGAAGATGTGAACCAGTAGAGCGTGCACCTTCTATTTTATCAGTGAAGGATGATTGATGATTTAGCTTTCCCCTTGGACTGTCTACGCCCTTTAATGATGTTTCCCGAGATAAAGCACCTATTCTGGGGAGAGTAGATTTCTTGGGTGACCCTGTTGAATCTTCAACCGCCTGTCTTTTAGCTTCTGGAGCTGCCTCAATCTTATCCGCATGCCTTTTGCCTGAGCTCTGTGGACTGAGGATTACCTCAGTTTCTCGTTTTCTCTTAGTTTCTGCATGTTTCAACTTCAAGTTCGTTAGAACTGAAACAGAAAATGTGAATCTAAATTTTATTTGCTAATTCAATACGCTATTTCTGTTCCACATATAGCATGTTTGGTTACATATTCAGCTTTACCTTGCTTCTGTTTTTCAGCGTCCTCGGCAAACTGACATTCTTCACACAGCCAATCACCCGCAGGAACTGCATTGAGCCTTTCCCGCATGCAATAGCTGAGTAAAAATATACTATTATTAGCACAGAAAATAGAGCTACCTTTTATTGATGGAACGCATGACAATCAGTATCGATAACTAATGTCTAACTAAAATCAAATCAAATTATACTACAGACAATGCGACACATCCTGAATCCAATTTTCCATTAGAAATGTTTTCTTTCATAGGAATAGAAAGCAGGCTTACGTGTGTTCTGCACCATCACTGCATCCGGTGCAGATAGCAAGTAGATCTTCACGACCCGCATCTCCACAGATATCACAAACTTTCACCTATTCAACAAAAGAAAAGAAAAGGCTCAGATAAAAAATGGCAACCAGAAATTAAGGTATTACAGAAAAAAAACGAAGTAGGTGTATAATTTCCAATATGAGACAAAAACGCAATACTTACATCATGTAAGACCATTTCAGAATCGCTCTCGCTCTCAGACATAGCTGATGAGACCGACTCATCTGATTTATTGAAGGAATTGCTTTTACTTGACTTCACATCCTTCCCGTTCTGGCCAGAAGGTGTGGATCCTTCAACTGAAGGTTCCTCTTTGTCTGTGTCACCCTGTGATCCTAGTTTTTCACATTCTGACAATATCTCATCTTCCTGGCCCTCTAAACGGGTAGAGGTCACATTAGCTGATGCAGACACTTTATGTTTCATCCTGCTCCTAGAAAAAGATGTCTCTGACTTCATAACGACAGCTCCGGCATCATCGGATATCCCAGAACGTCTGATTGTTTCCCTACTCTCCGCATTCTCAGAGAGAGCATCATGACTGAAACTAACAAGGTTGCTTGCTTCACTAACAGTGTTATTTGAACTGTTGCGAGAATTAACCACTAAAGAAGGCAAAGGACGGTCCTCGTTTACAGAACACTGGCTGGCAGCTACTCCGTGGCCGTTTTCATCTGATGACTCGTCTAAATTTGATCCAATGTTACGATGCGTGCATGATGAACAAGGAGCAGAACAAACATTACATGTTCCAGAGTCCACCTTCGAAAAACCTCTCTGATTCATTGACCGCTTACCAACTCTTCTATCAGCCTGCACATGATATAACAACAGTTAATAAAGCAAAACAATCCTGTATCAATCAATTGCCAAGGACAACCTGCCTCATTCTCAAATCTTCCAAACTACTTAAACAAAACAAAACAAAAAGACAGATTATTCATCAACCACACCAAAAAACTCATGATTTCAAACAAGTTGAAGGAGCAAACGCATGATTTAACTGGTCCATATAATAGCAATAGCAATAGCAATATATAAAGCTGTTATATTAGCTACCAAGTGGATAACAATACCAAGACAAATACTCAGAAACAACACCAACTCTAGACGCAAAACATAGATTACTATTCTCCATCAAAAAGATGTCATCATCACTGCATATTCATATAACTTCATGATCTAAGCCTTACATACGCCACTTCATCACTCCTTCTCATCCAGGAAACAGACAAAGACAATACAACAAAACGAAAAAAAAAAAAGAAAAGGGGTTTCAGCTAATCTCACCATCTGCAATAAAATCAATTTTGCCTGGCTTGCAGACCTCTTCAAACTGTTACAAATGAACAAATAAATTTCAATCTTAAACCAAATATGCGATACTGATGCAAAAAATCATCAAACCCAGAAAAAAAAAAATCGAATTAAATAATCAAATTCACAGAGAATCGTAACCCATAAAATACGGAATCTTACAAATAATCTAACAAATTTCTAATTAAACAAAAAAAAAAAAAAATCAACAAAAACATTTGCATGATTCACGTCTCAAGATCACCTTCTCTTTCTAGAATTCGATTTTCCCCAATCTGGAACCAAAACGAAAACCCTAATTTTCCCTCTCCAATTCTTACAAACCCTAATTTCTCGATTCGATCTCACACACACAACAATCTATCTATCCCCCTGAGTGTTTCTAAAGATTCTGAGTGATGGCTCCGTCTCGGTTCTCGCCTTTCGTTGTGATTATACAAAACAACACGAGCCAGAGATGAGAACTGTATATTATTTATATATATATACAACTCAGGATCTATACTTGGATACAAATTTAATACAGTTGTATTTCTACATTACATTAAATATCTTGACTTATATTTTTGTACATTAATTAAATATTTTGACTAATAGTGTTTTGGTTGTTATAGATTAATCACAAAAGGTTAAAGAGGATTTAAACGTGGTCACTGGTTTGTTATATGTAGTAAGGATATAATTACAGTAGATTAGTTACCTTCTATTCTACTCTGATTCATCCTCTTATTAGGACTCTTTTTTTTTGGTTAGGTATGAATCTCTTAAGTCCTCGTATGACTTTTTTATTTTTAACGTAAAGAAGGAAGGAATATATTTCTTTGTTCTTTTTGAGTTATTAACTTTCTTAATATGTATTTTTAGGTCAACTTGCCTTTAATTTAAAACACTTTTAACAAACTAAACAATTTTTTTTAACACTGGATAATTATACATTACAACTATAAGAGATATTTCATAGACGATACCACAGCCAATAATTCTATCTGCTTTACGCAGATTCACATTTGACTGCATTACCCTTCTTTATGAGATCCATTCTTAACAGCCTTGCGATCTCTTGGAAGATTTTTTTTTCCAGTTTGCATTATTTGCCATTCACTTTCTCCGGAGATTAAAACCTTCTTACACTAGTAGAAAAATGTGATATAGTCACGTTTTAGTCACATTGTACCGTGGCTTATTTTGAATTAGTCACAAGATAGTCACAAAAGATCACGAAACACACCAACGTGACAAATAGTGACTTTCCATGGCTAAAAAAGACACGTTTTGGTCACAAAAATTTTCGTGACTACCAATAGTCATGATTTGTCACGACAAAATGCGTGGATAAAATTCACATTTACAAAACTGTGAAAAAACGTGGTTTTTAGCCACGATTTAGACACATATATTTCATGACTCTTTCAAACCCTAAACACTACTTATAAATTCTAACCCTAAACACAAATCATATAAAAATATTTTAACATTTTCAAATTTAAAAATCAAAACTTAAAATTTAAACCTCAAACACCATAATTCAAACCTAAACTCTATACCCAAAATCATAAAACTAAACACCACATCTAATACTTTCAAACTTAAACAGTAAATATTAAAGAGATTATAACTAAAATAATCTTTATGTTTTAACACTTAACTAAAATAATATAGTCACTATAATATACATATAGGTAATATTCACAATTCACCAAAACTATAAAATTTAAAATCTCTTTGTGAAACTTTAACATCAAACCATTAAACTTAAACTTCAAACCATTACTTTCAAAGCTTACCTTAAACCTCACACTCTAAATCTTATATCATAAACACTAGACTCAATCACTATTTTCAAAATCCAAACTATAACTCATAAATATAACTTCTAAACATTAAATATAAAAAGTTATCAAAACAAATTATAATCAATATCTATTATCCTCATAAGCTTAACCCTAAAACTATCCCCTAAACCCTATTTTCTAAACTCAGCTTTGAAAATACTAACTTAAGGCTTTGTACTATTTTCAGAAAACTAACCATACATTCTAACTATTTTTATTTTTAAAGCTTAACCTCATACTTGAATCAAAACCATAAATTTTATACCCAAACATAAATTATAAAATTTAACTACTTTTAATTAACAAAATTAATTATAAAACTAGCATATAATCAAAACATCAATTAGAGTATCTACCTTACAAATTAACAAAAGTATTTTAAAAAAATTTAAAAGTAAAAATCTCATCGGGGGATGCCCAGATAATCGCTGACCATTGATTAAACTGGAGTCAATGGCCCAGATGCTCTTTCTTTGCAATCCTCGTCTCTCCTCCTCAGTGGTCAATAATTAAACACAAGGATTGTCTTATATGGCCATTGATTAATTTTGAATCAACGGTCCAGATTTCTTTTTATCCTTTTCTCCTTTTTGGGTAAAATCATCATCTTCTTCTTCTTGCTTAACTCTTTCTTCACACTTTCTCTACTCATCTGCAATTCCTTCTTCTTTCTTTTCCTTAACATATCCTATCTATGTGAGGATTTGCATGTGAGGATTTCTGTAACAGAGAAACGAAAACAAAGACTTGCGTGAGTGAGCAGTGGCGGTGGTGTTCGAGCTCGCACTCACTCAGATTGCGTCAGCCGTGGAGGTGGTCGAGCCAGAGGAAGACGCCGACAAGAGTGAGGGATGCGACGTTGACAACTCCGGTTGCTCCAGATCTATGATTTTGTAAGAAGAGGAAGCTCCGCATCTCGCTTGCAACTTTCGACGGAGGTGACCTGCAACTACATATGGTCGGAGTTGGCCAACATAAATGGATGACGGCTGGTCGGTCGGATGGTGGGATGTGGCCTGCAACTTGCGGCGGCAGAAGAAGTTTTGTTAATTAGAAGATTTTGCTTTTTAGGTTTATGTTTAACTAGTATGTTTTATTTTTAATTAAATCTGGTTTTAAGTTTGTAAACCTAATTTAGTTTGTAAAATGGTCTAATTTGTAAACCAAATCTCAATCAATAAACCAGTTCAATTTATAAACTAATTCTAATACAAAGATATCAATTTATAAATTATTAAATGTTATTTAATATTATTTATAATAAATCTAAAATTCAAAATATAAATATAATTATAAAATTATATTTTCAAAACAGTACACGAAAATAGCCATTAATAAAATCAAACCATAACTAGTTAGTCACTAAAACTTTCGTGATAAATCGTGACTAAACCATACACGAAAACTTGTATGACAAATCGTGACTAAAATAGTCACGCTTTTCTCACGGAAAAAATTAGTCACGATCGTATAGATACGGTTTTTTTTCGTGACCTTTCGTGTGTATGTCAATGTATAGTCACGAAAAAATGACTGTAGACACAAAAATTTCCGTGTGTATATCACATTTTTCTACTAGTGAATTAGTATAGAAATTGCGTAGGATTTAAATCTTAGACCTGGTGTAGAAATCTTTAAACCTTAACGACTAGCTTATAGTGCTTCCCCCCAACTAAACAAATTTACATATCAATTTTGTTTGAAAAAAAAAGAGCTTAAAGCATGCATCACGTAGCCATTCCAAGCCTGAAAAAAACAGCTTAAAGCCATGACCATGAAATGTTATATGAAGCATTGATACACTTTCTCCCGGATTCACTTATAATTTCATTCCAGTAATCGGTAGTTTTAATATATAATAAATTATCAATGCTCTTGTGTTGTGTCAATCTGGTCAACTTAAAGCAAATCGGCTACAGGGATCAGTTCTAAGATCGTCTGAAAATCATTCTTTTAAAACTGGTTCATATAGAACTACAGATGTTGTATTACTTACTTGTTGCTTAAGACTTTGCATATGGCTTTCTTTCTCTATTTTTTTTGATGTCATGTTTATATGTATATGTTTTAGGCTTTACTTGGAGACCCGAGAGGGCAGTATCCAATCAGATCTACTCACAAGATCCTCCACTGTATGTTGCTGCAGCCAGAGAGGCACAGCTCTCTATTGCCTTCCATTCACGCAGCACGAACGATACGTCGATTTTGTGAGTATTTCTTTATTTTTCTATACGTTTTCATCCTCGCATCGTCTTTCTTAGAACAATGATGTGGTCTAGAGTCGAAAAGAGGCAAGAGAAGAAAGCAAAAGAAGTTGAGTTGCTTCTTTGATCTAAAGCTGTCTGATAATTAATTAAGATAGAGCAGGAACTGGAAACAAGATTATTAACTGGTGATAAGACTAATGTTCATCCTTTATTTATTTATTCTTTCGTTTTGCAGGAATACTTCAATCTTATGATGACAAACCGACTAATACATGTGGGTTTTTTTCTCATGTTTTAATTGCTTTTCTCATGCTCTAATACTAGACAAGTCCATTTCCGCTAAGAGCTTCAAAACTGAGTCTGTACGCGGTTTGTCAAGCCAACAAGACCTATTTATCAGTAATAAACATTTCTTGACTTATTGATAACATCGATGACAACTTGCCAAGTTACCTTTTACTAAATAGTAATTAATCACAAATTAACATGTGTTAAATAGATTCCTTACCGCTTATCTTATTTGAAAGATTCCTTTTGAAACATCTTTATAAGTCCCCCATGTGCAAGTATTGGCTTCCTATCAGTTTTCCTATCTCTCTCCCTTGTTGTTTTCTATTGAAAGCGTAAAATCACCCAAAAAAATGCGCATAATAAAACTGGTCATGACATGTCTTTGGTTCTTGCTGGTGTCTAGATTCACAAGCGCAAACGAGGCCAACATGAATTGCTTGAGGAGCATAAAGTCCCAAGTTGAAGATCCAAACGGATATTTATCGAGTTGGGTATTTCACAACGTGACTGAAGGTTCTATCTGCATGTTCAATGGTGTGAGTTGCTGGAATGATAAAGAGAATAGGGTTATGAGCATTGAGCTTCCTGGTTATGGTCTCAAAGGAGAATTCCCTCATGGGATTAACCAGTGTTATGGTTTGACAAATCTAAATCTTTCTGGTAACAACTTCATCGGAGTTTTACCATCTAATATAGCCTCTTTGGTTGCATTCCTTACAACTCTCGACCTCTCTTACAATCAATTCTCCGGTGAAATCCCAGCCGGTTTATCAAATATTACCTATCTGAACATTCTTATGCTTCAGGGTAACCAGTTCACTGGTCAGCTTCCTCCCGAGCTAGCTTCACTTCAGCGGCTCAGACAGTTCTCTGCGGCAGATAATCAACTCATCGGTCCTGTCCCGAAATTCGATGAAGCCATGGGAATTGGAGAGGATAGTTTTGCTAATAACACTGGTTTGTGTGGTCTGCCTATGGATCTTTGCATTGACCTGGAAGAAGAAATGATCCGGTTTGGGATGATTGGTGCGGCTTTATTTGCACCAGTAGGTGCGTTCTTAGGCTGGTTCTTCCTCAATGACAAGAAGGAGAAACGAGGAGAGTTAAGAAGACGAAGCTGAATTTTCTATATCTTGTACTCTTGTTTGTATATGAAGCCAGTTGAGACTGTTCCCTTCCTTGAAGTTTTATGTTTCAAGAATGTCGATGAACTTCAGTCTATAAGTCTTCAGCATATCCTAATTCTTCTTGGTTCACTTATGTTTTCATTACTTGGAAGTTTTGTAATAGATCATTGATTATTATATGTTGTTCCTGTTGTGGCATTCTGATCACAACTTAAAGCAAACCGGATACATGATCAGTTCTGAGCATCATTCTTTGTTAAACTGATTCATAGAACTACTGATGTTTCGTTACTTGTCGCTTCTTCTTGGTGCTTTAAGACTTTGCATATGGTTTTCTTTTGGTCTGATGTTTATATCTGCTTTAGGGTTTACTTGGAGATCCATTGAGTATTCCTTTACTTCTATACCTTTTTACTCTCACTATTAGTTTTTCTTTGACAGATTCCCGTTGGCACAAACAATGTATACACACATATAAAAACCGACCTCTTTCTTTGTTTCAGTGACAATGTTAGTGTTAGTTGATTATACAGGTACACGCTGGCGCAAGAGCATGCTGATGTTACTAACCTCCATATGACTGGTATCAATCTTGAATCTTCTTATATTTATAAGTCTCATACACAAGCTTGAAAATTCTTATACTAAAGTCGTCACTCAAGTATACCATGATTAACATTTTTTCCACAGTTAGAATATTCAAACCCACGGGACAAGCTGAAATTAACGTGTGTGAATGAATAATCTCATCAAGTCCCCTCCGTGGAACCCCTTTTACACGACAAGAGACGACTTGTGACTTTTAGAAAATCTTTATAATTCACCATGCTCAAGTGTTGGCTATACTATAACAATTTTCACTTCCTATTGTTCCTAAGACGTCTCCCTTGTAATCTTATATTAAAAAAATCCCACAACCACACCAAAAATGTCCTTAATAACCTAGTCGCAACCTGTCTATGGTTCTTTCTGGTCTCTAGCTTCACAGGCGCAAACGAGGGCAACGTAAATTGCCTGAAGAGCATAAAGTCCCAAGTTGAAGATCCAAATGAATATTTATCTAATTGGGTATTTGGCAACAACGAGACTGCAGGTTTTATCTGTAGGTTCACTGGTGTGACCTGCTGGCATGATTATGAGAATAGGGTTTTGAGCATTAAGCTTGGTGGTTATGGTCTCAAGGGAGAATTCCCTTTAGGGGTTAACCAATGTTCTGATTTGACAGGTCTATAGATCTTTCTAGGAACAACTTCTTTGGAGTCTTACCATCTAGTATAGCCTCTTTGGTTCCATCCATTTTTATTCTAGACCTCTCTCTTACAATCAATTCTCCGGTGAAATCCCAACCAGTTTACCAAATATTACCTTTCTGAACACTATTAGGCTTCAGCATAACCACTTCACAGGTCAACTTCCTCCCGAGCTAGCGTCACTTCGGCGGCTCTCCGCGTTCTCTGTGGCAGACAATCAACTGACCGGTCCTGTCCCAGAGTTCAACTTTTCGAGCTTTGGAGTGGAGAGTTTTGCTAATAACAAGGGTTTGTGTGGTCCACCTATGGATTATTGCACTGAACCGGAAGAAGATATGATCCGGTTTGGGAAGATGGGTGCAGCAATTGGTGCGGCTGTATTTGCACCAGTAAGTGTGTCCTTAGAGCAAGATTATCCCTTGATCCTTAAGTGGGATCCTTAATAATTATTTAATACTTTAAATGTATTTAAGTGGAGTTAAGAACTCTAATTAAGAAACTTCCATTTGGAGTGGTCCAATGGGAGTTTCTTAATTAGGAATTCTTAAAAAAAAAAAAAATTAACAAAATAATCTTCTCAATAACAGATTCTTCAAAAGGATACAATCTTTCACAAAATATTCTCTTAAACGAACAAAGAGTTAACTTCAACAAAAACTAAATAAAATCTGTCAAAAAAAAAAACAGAACAAGAAGATAAATTGTATTGAACAGCAAAGAGCACAAACCAAAACAACAAAACCAGGAAACAAAAGAATTGGTCTTCTAGTCATCTTCCTCACCCTCGTTCTCAGCAATGTTGAAGTACCTCAACTCATAGAGGTTACGGTCCTTGTTGACCGCAATCACTCTCAGCCAATCCTTCACGTTGTGCTTCTTCAAGTACTTCTTTGTCAAGTACTTCAAATACCTGCAAACACACAAGTAGTAAACAAAAGAGTTCAAAATTAACATTGCTTGAAAGCAAAAAGCAATAAAAAAACTTCGCAATAAGTTGTTTGGATCCCTGCATTCAATATCTATTAGCCTTCTATCATCCCAGATCAAAACCTATAAGAGTATGTTGGGAGTGTATGTACCTCTTGCAGAACTGGCCATCAGAAGTGACAGTGATCTTGTTCTTCTCACGAGTGGTTGTGACAAAATCACCAAGTGCACCAGCTATACCACCGACTTTGATCCTCTACTGAAGGAACTTCTCGAGGGAAACAATCTCCATGATCTTGTCATCGACAGGCTTCGAGCAATCAATGGAGAAGGACAATTTTAAAAGTGATTAGAAGGAATAAAGAAAGACTATCCTTGTAGTACAGTGACGAAATATCCTAATCTCCAAAAAATTGCTGAACCCTGGACAATTCTGAATTCCCAGGGACAAATATTCTTCAAACGAACGCAACACGAAATAAAGAAGGAACACACACACATAAAGAGCTTAAAGAAAAGATAGATTACACTCCAAGCAAACAAAAAGCATTTGGATAAGAGATAGTAAAGTTGATGCATCCACCTAATCTGATAATAGATAGTGGCTAAGATCTAGAGATTATCCATCGGTTGCAAATTATCCAATGAAACCAACCAAAAGGTCACGAGAGACCTATTAATATAATGACTCAATTAAGCTACTGGAAATCAATCATGTTTTCATATTTAACACCTTTGTAAATTCACTATCAAACCTTCCACGTAATCTAACATTTTCTTGATTTGATTAATTCTAAGCACTAAATCAGATCAGCTTAATGAAAAACAGAACAAGGAAAGAAGAAGAAACATACTTCTCGTCTTTAACGTCGAGGTTAAGTACAGCAAGCAGAGCCGTCTCGTGGTGCGATTCAGGAGATTCAAGTTGGAGCATCGAAACGAGCGGTTCAATGGCCTGTGAAAAGTGTCGGCGGCATCTATGCAACGTTTTTTCCAGCCGACGGATCTCTTTAGCGGAGAAGTCGAGAGAGAAGACGTGGTGGATTCCGATCGGAGAAGACGAAGAAACAAAAGAGAACCGAGAATAATGAAAAGAAAAAATCTTGGACTTTTTCCTCGCTGACACGTGGTTGTAAAAACCCCATTAAATTCGGTCCTTGAATCCCCAATTAAGGATCGATAACTTCCTTTATAATTATTTTTGATTTAATTTAATCACCTATTTTCTTTAAGAAACCTGTTAAGAAACAGGGATAATCATGGTCTTAGACTGTTTCTTCAATGGTAAGAAGGAGAAACAAGGAAATATAAGACACAGGAGATGAATTTTTTTGTACATTTGGGATTGAAACACATGTTTTAGTCAAATCATTATCACATTACTTTCTGCATCTTAATACAAACGATATACGCCAGTATTAGTGAATGATTATATCTACGCCTACATATACTTGATAAAACTATGATTTGTAGCATGGTTTGATAACTTGAACACGTTTTGTTAGTTTCACCCTATACCATAGATGGACATAGTGATTATTAAATAATTTTCCACGGTTGACTATTCAACCTTGACTTGGGAAACGCTTAACAATTCTCCAGTTCAAGTTTTAGGCACCGTAACAATTTCCATTTGCCATTGCTTCTTCTATTATCAAATCTCTTGTTGTTAGTGATCTCTTTTAAGAACACAAAAATCAATCAACAACAAAATGTCCATAACAACCCTAGTGTCAACTTGTCTCTGGTTCTTGGTGGTGGTGCCTAGCCTCACAGGCGCAAACGAGGTCAACGTAAATTGCCTGAGGAGTATAAAATCTCAAGTTCAAGATCCCAAGGGATCTTTATCAAGTTGGGCATTTCGCAAAGGGACTGCAAGTTATGTATGCAGATTTATTGGTGTGGAGTGCTGGGATGTGGATAGGGTTTTGAGCATTGACCTTTCTGGTTTTGGTCTCCAAGGAGAGTTTCCTCTTGGGTTAAATGAATGTTCTTCTTTGACAGGTCTAGATCTTTCTAGAAACAACTTCTCTGGATCTCTACCATCTAATATAGCCTCCTTGATTCCATTTGTTACAACTCTCGACCTTTCTTACAATCAATTCTCTGGTGAAATACCAGCAGGTTTATCAGATGTTACCTATCTGAACACTCTTATGCTTCAGCATAACCACTTCACTGGTCAGATTCCTCCCGAGATAGCGTCGCTTAAGCGGCTCAAACAGTTCTCAGTGGCAGAGAATCAACTGACCGGTCCTGTCCCAGAATTCAACGAAGCCTTGGGAATTGGAGTGGAGAGTTTTGCTAATAACACAGACTTGTGTGGTTGGCCTATGGATTATTGCATTGAGCAGGAAGAAAAAGTGAGCCGGTTTGGGAAGATGGGTGCAGCAATTGGTGCGGCTGTATTTGCACCAGTAGGTGCCTTCTTAGGCTGGTTCTTCGATAGCAGGAAAAAGAAACGAGGAGATATAAGACACCGACGAAGCTGAATTTTCTACATAACACGTGTTTTAGTCAAATGAATATCAAATTACTTTCTGCATCTTAATACAACGAATAATTGAAAGTATATATATATATATATATGCATGCAGTATCAATGAATAATTGAAAGTATATATATACATCAAAGACATATTCAAACTCAAAGAAACAGAAAGATCGATGCGAAGAACTAGAAACACCTGCTGAAGCTTTTATTCAGTATCTTATTTTTTGTATTCAGATTCTGTCTTTCGGAAAGAGAAAAGAGAAAAAGCAAAAGAAGTTGACTAATACATGTGGTTTTTTTGTCATGTTTAAATTGCTTTTCATGCTCTAATATGATACATAGATGAGACATCAGTACGCGGTTTGTCAAGCCAACGAGACCTATTTCTCAGTAATAAACATTTCTTGGCTTATTGATAACATCGATGACAAACTTGCCAAGTTGGCTTTTATTAACGGCCTAACTGGTTACAACGCAGGGATTGCAGTTGCGGTTGCGGGCGTTTACGGATGCGGGAGATTGCGGTTTTAAGCGTTAATAAGAGATTTGTACGACTGGTTCAGTCGTTAAAAATTATTACGTTTGCGGGATACTTATAACTGGTTTATCATCAAATACAACAACGATTAAGTAATAAATTAACAATATTTATATTTTATATAATTATCAAAATATTAAAATAATATTTTCATGATAAATATAAAAATTTTATTGCACTATTAAATTTTTAAAAATTAAAGAAAATATTTTTGTGGAAATTTTATAATATAAATATTTCAGTATTTTAATTGAATATTTTACTTCTATATTTATATAGTTTTTTGGAAAAAAAATATTTTTTATACTCCTACAATCGCCCGCAACCGCAAACGCTAGCTGCAACCAGCTTTTAAATTTTAGCGATTCAGAGCGATTTGAAACGATTTATAGCATTTTCTGTGATTGTTGCAAAACGCCAACAACCGCTATCAACCGCAAAAACTGCGTTTGCGGGTGATGGCGGGAGAACCAGTCGGGCCAAATCATTGATGTAGATTTTATCAAGTCTCTCAAAATATTTAATGTTTTGTAAATAGTAATTAATTACAAATTAACATGTGTTAAATAGATTCCTTTTACGCTTATCTTATTTGAAAGATTCCTTTTGAGACACATCTTTTTAATTCCCCATGTTCAAGTGTTGGCTACCTATCAGTTTCCAGTTGCCATTGCTACTTACAGACATCTCTCTCTCTCTCTCTCTCTCTCTTGTTGTTTGCCCAAAATCACAAAAAAATGCGCATAATAACACTGGTCATAACTTGTCTTTGGTTCTTGCTGGTGTCTAGCTTCACAGGCGCAAACGAGGCCAACGTGAATTGCTTGAGGAACATAAAGTCCCAAGTTGAAGATCCCAAAGGATATTTATCGAGTTGGGTATTTCACAACGTGACTGAAGGTTCTATCTGCATTTTCAATGGTGTGAATTGCTGGAATGATCAAGAGAATAGGGTTATGAGCATTGAGCTTCCCGGTTATGGTCTCAAAGGAGAATTCCCTTTTGGGAAATGTTCTGATTTGACAGGTTTAAATCTTTCTAGTAACAACTTCATTGGAGTTTTACCATCTAATATAGCCTCTTTGGTTCCATTCCTTACAACTCTAGACCTCTCTTCTCTTACAATCAATTCTCCGGTGAAATCCCAGCTGGTTTATCAAATGTTAATTATCTTAACGCTCTTATGCTTCAGCATAACCAGTTCACTGGTCAGCTTCCTCCCGGGCTAGCGTCGCTTAAGAGGCTCGTCAAGTTCTCTGTGGCAGATAATCAACTGTTCGGTCCTGTCCCAAGATTCAATGAAGCCTTGGGAATTGGAGTTGAGAGTTTTGCTAATAACAAGGGTTTGTGTGGTTCGCCTATGGATTATTGCACTAAACCGGAAGAAGAAATGGTCAAGATGGGTGCAGCAATTGGTGCGGCTGTATTTGCACCAGTAGGTGCCTTCTTAGGCTGGTTCTTCTTCAATGGTAGGAAGGAGAACCAATGAGACATAGGACTCTTAAGCTGAATTTTTTGTACATTTGGGATTAAAACACGATCCGTTCAGGAGATCCGTGGAACCAGCTGGTCAGAGACAAAGACCTTCCCAACAGTCTTAAGTTAATATCTAAATATTGTTGTTTATTCAATCTGAGCACCTTGTATGTGTTCAAAGAATTTCTCCTTTTTCATTTTTAATTTCTTGTTTTCTTCCGAACTGATCGTCTTGGAATGTTAGTGTATTCAGCTTAATTATGTAATCTTTTCGTTTCTATTGCGCATCGCCCTGTATAGTGAATAAAAAAATCACTTTGGTTTGATAGAGCCTGTTTGTATGGAACATGGAAATTATGAAGCCAGTTGAGACTGTTCCATTCCATGAAATTTTATGTTTTAAGAATGTTGATGAACTTCAATATGTAAGAGCACCCCCATTGAAGGTTCATGGGGGGAGTTCACACGGAAATCAAGAAAAAAAAATAATAAAATAATAAAAATCTATGAACCCCTTTCTCCTAAAGTTCACCGCGGTGAACCCCTTTCTCCTGAGGTTCAACACGTGGCGGCTCGGGATTGGTCTAGACTTTTTTTTTGTTTTTTTTTTTTTTAAAAAATATCAAAAAGAAAACAGAAAATTTTTAATAGTAAAAAAATGATTCAATGAACCCCAAGAGGGGGTTCATTGATGTGGATGCCCTAAGTCTTCAGCATCTTAATTCCTCTTGGTTCACTTATGCTTCCATTACTTGGAAGTTTTGTAATAGATAATTAATTAATTATTATATGTTGTTCCTGTTGTAGCATTCTAATCAACTTGAAGCAAACCGGCTACAGGGTCAGTTCTACTTATCGCTTCTCTTGGTGCTCAAGACATTGCATATGGTTTTCTTTTGATCTGATGTTTATATCTGCTTTAGGCTTTACTTGGAGACCCAAGAGGCAGGATCCAATCAGCCAGGGATGCAGAGCTCTATTGCCTTCCATGCAAGACACGTCGATTATGTGAGTTTTCCTTTACTTCTATACGTTTTTTACTCTCACATTGTCTTTCTTGAAACAATGATTTCAATATTACTTTTTTCTTTTCTAGAATATGATTCGACAGATTCCCGCTGGCACAAACAATGTATACAACACATATATACATGTGCACAAACCGACCTCTTTCTTTGTTTCAGTGATTATGTTAGTGATAGTTGATTATATCGGTATACGCTGGCGCAAGAGTACGCTTGATGTTATTAATTAACCTCCATGACTGGTATCAGTCTTGAATATTCTTACACTAATTAAGTCTGATACAAAAGCCTGAAGACTCTTATACAGAAAGTCCTCACTCATATACACCATGATTAATATTTTTTTCCACAGTTGGAATATTCAAACCCATGGGACAAGCCGAAATTAATGTGTACGAGTGAACATTCTCATCAAGTCTCCTCCGTAGAACTCCTTTTACACGACAAGAGACGACTTGTGACTTTTAGAAAATCTTTATAATTCACCATGCTCAAGTGTTGGCTATACTATAAAAAACTTCCACTTGCTATTGTTGCTAAGTCCTCTCTCTTGTAATCTTATATTAAAAAATCCCACAACCACACCAAAAAATGTCCTTAATAAACCTAGTCGCAACTTGTCTATGGTTCTTTCTGGTGTCTAGCTTCACAAACGCAAACCAAGCCAACGTAAATTGCGTGAGGAGCATTAAGTCTCAAGTTGAAGATCCCAATGAATATTTATCTAGTTGGGTATTTGGCAACAACGACACTGCAGGTTTTATCTGTAGGTTCACTGGTGTGACTTGCTGGCATGATGATGAGAATAGGGTTTTGAGCATTAATCTTGGTGGTTTTGGTCTCAGAGGAGAGTTTCCTCTTGGGCTTAAAAATTGTACTGATTTGTCAGGTCTAGATCTTTCTAGGAACAACTTCTCTGGACCTTTACCATCCAACATAACCTCATTCATTCCACTCCTTTCAACTCTCGACCTCTCTTACAATCAATTCTCCGGTGAAATCCCAGCCGGTTTATCAAATATTACCTTTCTGAACACCCTTATGCTTCAGCATAACCAGTTCACAGGTCAGCTTCCTCCAGAGCTAGTGTCACTTGGGCGTCTCACCAAGTTGTCTGTGGCAGACAATCAACTGACCGGTCCCATCCCTAACTTTAATGAAGATCGATTGAAACTTGGAGTGAGCGATGTTGCTGATAACAAGGGTTTGTGTGGTCCGCCTATGGATTATTGCACTGAACCGGAAGAAGATATGATCCGGTTTGGGATGTTCGGTGCAGCAGTGGGTGCGGCTATATTTGCACCAGTAAGTGTGTTCTTCGATAACAGGAAAAAGAAACGAGGAGATATAAGACACCGAAGCTGAATTTTCTACATAACACGTGTTTTAGTCAAATGAATATCAGATTACGTACTTTCTGCATTAATACAACGAATAATTGAAAGTATGTATATATGCATGCAGTATCAATGAATGATTAAATCTCAACTTGGAACACTTTTTTAACCCCCACACTCAAATTAGAATTGTAGTAGCCACCTAAATCTGCAATATAAGAATTTCTGTGTGTGCTTAGTCGTGCTTAGACTGTTTCTTCGTTGAAGAAATCTGAAACTATCAAATACATTTTTAATAAAAATTTACGCCACATAAGTTTCAAAAAAAAAAAAAGAGAGAAAAGTGCCATTAAGATGGGACAACATCTTCAATACCCATCCTCCTCATCACTCAATCTCCTATACCCAAATTAAAGCCAAAAAAATCTTTATTCATATTTGAGCAAAAAAACCCATTAAATTTAAAATATTAGTTATTTTAATTCTCATATTTTGTTGACTATGTCATTTAAGAAATCTGAATATTCAACTGTTAAAATCGATTCTAAAAATAAATGACTGTTAACTTTCTAAACGATATTGTTTTTTAAAAAATAGTCAAACGACGTAGTTTTACTTCTTTAAATAAATAAAGCCTTCTTTCACGACATCAGAGTCCCAAATCGACTTCATTTTCTTCATTCGAAAATGAAGAAGATGATGTTAATTTGGGGTTCTCACTCACGAAAAATATATTTTAAGTGTTTTTAAAAAGCAAAACGACATTGTTTGATTAGTATTTTATTAGTTTTTGAAACAATTTCATTTAAAAAGTACACATATGTCTATTTTTAATCAAATTTAAGAGTTGACTATTCGGGTTTTTTAATTGGCCGAGTCAACAAATTATAAAAGTTAAAACGACTAATATTTGAAATTTGAAATTTTTTTTGGCTCAAACATGAATTAATTTTTTTTTGGTTTTACTTTGAAAATTCAAAGTTCTAATGGTTGTTTTCTAAAAAGAAAAAATACTGTATACAAACCAGCGAAGTCTCATCAATTATGAATAATTTGTTTTTGTTAAGAAATGAAGATGGTGGTTGGGACATATCCGGAAATGGACCAGACCACATCAGTACCATACCAGGCGGCCAAGTATCAGTCACTATCCTCCCTTGTGTTTATCCATATGTTGTAGTTATCCTAATCATTATAGGATTAGGATAATCATCCCCTTTATTGTTGTAATCCTTATCTCCTAAGGAATATGCTTNTGTTGTAGTTATCCTAATCATTATAGGATTAGGATAATCATCCCCTTTATTGTTGTAATCCTTATCTCCTAAGGAATATGCTTATTCTCTTGTATGTATATATATGTATGTGCACGTGATGAATAAGATATACAGAGTTACAACCTTCTTCTTTATTTCACAACACGTTATCAGCACGAGCTCTACCCTAGCACAAAAACCCGTAGCTCTCTCTCTCTCTAGGCGGCTGCAGAAACCCTAATCCCTGCAGCAACTTCAAAGCGACGTATCTCCCAAACCCTGTGTACCCAGACGACGATCTACATACCAAACTGAAGCTCTGGAAGAGAGGAATCCAGCAGATCAAACGGCGCGTCAATCAGACACCGGAATCAACCGGAATCACCAAAACAAGGCGGCGGCTAAATTTCTGCTTTTCCAATCCGGGAAACCCTAGAAACTTCTCCCTTACTCAAACGACTTAGCCCTTATTTCTTCCTTAATTTATTAAGTTATTTTGAAGAAGAAATCCCTTGCTAACTATTCTTTTGCAGGTGTAAAGCCTTAGCTAAAAGATTCAAAGCAATCCGATCTCTCTCCCTCCTAAGACCAAACCGGTTAAGCCCTAATGGAGGTCCATTCAAAAACAAGGAGATTTGAGGTATGAAACTTAAACTCTCAAACATAAGTTTCGACCCCCCTTAAAACTATGATGTTTTGGTATGTTTGAGAAGTAAAATTAAACCCCTAAAGAGCCTAACTATGTACATGGATACAAACTTGTATTCATGAACAAAAGTTAAACTAAAACCCTAATTGATGAACTCGAAATCTTTGCTTGCTTTGATCCGTTTTGCTTGCTTATTTTTATCAAGATATTTATGTTGAATGCTTTAGGAATTCACCTTGATAGATTTCGTGTTTTGAGTTTGAGCAAATTGATAATCTAAAACCCTTGATAGCTAGACATGAAACCGGCTTGTTTTGTCTCTCTCTAGATCCGTTTTTGGTATAGCTTGTTTTTGATTGATCCAATTCGTTTTTGCTGCACTAGATCTATTAATCACTTGCTGAAATTGATCACCCTGGGACTA